GGGGGTCCCGGGCACCTGGGGGAGGGGGGAGGGGTGCAGAGGGTCCCACTCACCGGCGGGGGGGCCACGCTGGGCTCCGGAGGGGCCCCTTTGAGCCGGGGGGCCGAGGCGATGAGGAGCCCCAGCCGGGGGTCTTGGGGGGCGGGGGGGGTCGGTGGGGGCCCCCACATCTCCAGGGGGGGTCCCAGGCGGCCGGGGGGTCTCACCTCGAGGCGCGGGAGGGGCCCCACCTCCTCCTTGATGGGACAGAGGCGCAGGGGGGGCCCTGGGAGGGGTCCAGGGCCCTGCTCAGGCCCCCCCAGAGGGTCCTCCTTGACCTATGGGGGAGGGGTACATCAGGGACAGGCCACCCAGGTGTCCTGTAGGGACACAGCCCCTCCCCAAGGCACCCAGGTGTCCAGGGGGGAGCCCCCACCCCACGGGGAAACTGAGGCACAGACAAGCCTTGGGGTGACGGGGAGTCCCAGGTGCCTGGGGATCCCCAAAATCCCCCCCAGACTCCCCTCCTGGACACCTGGGTCCCCCGAGGGGGGGTCCGTGCAGACAGAGCAGCAGAGCAAGCACAGCAAGGCAGGGGGCAAACTGGGGGGGAGAGAGACAGAGGGTGGAAAGACTTAGGGGATGAGGTTATCTGGGGGGGTGAGGAGCGTTTTGGGGTCCCCCCGGACAGAGGGGGGGTCCCGTTACCTGGCGGGGGGGGCGGGGCAGGCGGCGGCTCCGGGCGGCGGCGTGGAGGGGCCGGGGGGGCCAATGCCGGCGGGGCCTGGACGGGGGGAGGGGGCGGCCTCTCCAGGGGGGCCCCCAGCGACCCCCCCACACCGGCAGCAGCCGCCTCTGCGCCAGGAGAGAGACCTCAGTGGGCGGGGGTGCACCCCGATTTGGGGAGCAACGTGGATCGGAAGGGGGCAGAGGAACAACCCCCTCAGGGAGACCCAGGTGGGCAAGGAACCCCCCCTTCCCCCCAGCAAAGGGACCCGAGCTGAGCCCCCCCAAAGCCAAGCAACGCAGGAAGGACCCAGGCGTCCAGGAGAGCCCCCAAAACAGGATCCAGGCATCCAGGAGACCCCCCCCAGAAGAGGACCCAGGCATCCAGGAGAGCCCCCAGAACAGATCCAGGCATCCAGGCACCACCTGGGTACCAACCAACCCCCCTCTTTCCCCTCCAACTAGTCCATACTGGTCTGAACTGGTCCCACCCAGCACTGGAGGGGTCGGGGCAGCCCCAGCCTTGCCCGTGCCTCAGTTTCCCCAGACAAAGGCGGTGGGTTGTTGGGGAGGGGGCGGAGGGGCTGTGGCTGGGGGCTGCTGGGAGGCACTGGGATGAAGCAGGGGCGGGCACCCACCATGGCACAGCGCAGGCACTGCCTCCAGCGGCACTTCTGGCGCTTGAGGTTCTGCCCCCCGAACTTGGGCTTGTCCTGGCAGAAGTCGCAGCGGCCGCAGTCGGCCGGGCGCCGACAGGCCGCACACACCCCACAGCGCCGGCTGGCCCTGCTCCTCACCCCCCGCTGGGGAGAGAGAGGGGTCACCCGGGACCCCCGGAACCCCCCGGGGCCCCGCCGGGGCTGTCAGTGCGGGAGCGGCTGTTAGGAGCGTTACGGCAGTGGGGGGTGCAGTATTAGGGGCATTACGGCAGCCAAGCACCAGCAGCAGGTTAGGCTGAAGGCACAGAGGGGGGAAGGAGCAGCTATCAGGGGCCCCAGCAGGCAGGGCATTACGGTATCTGCACCCCACTATTACAATCCCTTGGATCCCAACATTATGTCTGGAACGCTTATTAAGGACATTACGGTAACTGAACACCCCATAAACGGTGTCGTGGTACCTAG